TCAAGGAGATGGCAGCTTTTCGAAGCTCTCAGTGCCAGCCCCTCGAATCTGTGAAGGCCGTTCAGTGAGAGCCCAGGAACCTTCAGGTTTCAGGGGGCCGTGTCTCCGCTGAGCTGGTGTCGCATGTTAGCTTCCCTCTCCCTATGGGCGCTTTCAGGGGTGCTCCGACATGCTGAGTGCCTCTGGGTTTTATGTTGACGTCAGGGAGTTTGTTGCAGAAGCAGTAGTTTTAAAGTCATGACTGTCCTCTTGATCTCAAACAGACAATACTCAGTAAACAAAAAGGAAAAAAAAGCCCTGGCCGGGTCGCCCAGTTGGTTGGAACATCATCTCATGCACCGAAGGTTTCGGGTTTGATCCCTGGTAGGGGCACATACCTAGGTTTTGGGGTCGATCACTGGTAGGGGCACATCCCTAGGTTTTGGGTTCGATCCCTGGTAGGGAGGCATACAGGAGGCAACCAATCCGTTTCTCTCTCACATCGATGTTCCTCTCTTCCTCTCTCTTCCGTTCTCTCTAAAAATCAATAAGAACCTATCCTCAGGTGAGGATTTTTTTTAAAAAGGGGGGAAGGGAGATTGCCCAGCACAAGAAAAGTTGGCATATATATACATTTTCCATAGTGGCTACACCAGTTTCCATTCTCACCAATAGTGCACAGTGTCCCCTTTTCCGCACATCCTTGTCAACATTTTTTGATTTATGGATGATGGCCATCCTGACAGGTGTGAGGTAATATGTCCATGTTCATGTATGTTGCTGATGTGAAAATGAACATATGCCACACTGTCTCTTAGGCCGTCCCTGGTGCTGATGCATTTGCATATGCGAGGCTGGGGTTTTGACAGCCAACAGGAATTCCCCTCGTAGTGGTCTCATTGGGAAATGTGATTAAATGCGGTTCAGTTGCCTAAAAGGCAAATCATCAGAACAGCTTTAAAGAGAACTGGTAGCAGTGGTTGCTTTCAAGTTCCGTAGGCTTTTCGTTTTGTTTTTAATCTCCCAGGGTCCTGTGTTTATATAGATAAGATCAGACAAACTCGGAGTTCCTCTCTGGCCAGCCCTAATTCCAAAACCCAAACAAACAACAAAACAAGCAGGGGTGGCATTGTTTGTTTCTTTCCAGCTAATTCTTGCCAACTTTGAGTATGTGGCAGGTCTGGGCTCCAGATGGAGCATCCATGAGGATCTGTTTTGGAGCATTGATTTTTGCAAACATCAGAGCAAATTACAAAATGGATATTTTGAAATATTTTCTTAAATCACTCCATGCATGTACTTTCATCCAAAATCACTATTGATCCCACAAAGACTTTTTATGAAACCAGTGCAATCTAGTCAGTTTCATTAAAAAAAATCAATTTGGCTGGCTTGTATTGGCTTTTGTCTGGGGAACAATAGAACAATTGGGCTGTCTTTTTTGATGTAATATTTTACTATTTCTATCTAGCAAAAGGTGATTCTTGCCCTAGGCGGTGGCTTAGTTGGTTGCAGCATCGTTCCATACACCAAAAGGTTGTGGGTTTGATTCCCAGTCAGGGCACATACCTAGGTTGCAGGTTTCGATCCTTGGTAGGGGTGCATACAGGGGGCAACCGATGGATGTTTCTCTCTCCCTCTCTCCCTCTGAAAACCAATAAAAACATATCCTTGGGTGAGAATTAAAAAAAGAAAAAGGATGATTATTACTTGCTTGAAATAAAGTCCTCACTTCAGGTTTTCAGGGACAGAATTTTCACTCTATAGACATTCTCCTAGTACCACTTAGCTACATTATATTCTTTTCCACTCAGCTTTGAGATATACCATTGTGTAAGTTTAAGGTATACAATGTGTTGATTTGATACACCTATACATGGAAAAATGATCACCCCCATGTCATACTTACCACTTCCTTTTTGTGGTGAGAACATTTAAGATGTCTTGGCAACTTTCAAGTGTATAAAATAGTGTTATTATTTATAACCACTATACTGTGCATTCGATCCCCAGAACTCATTCATCTTCTAACTGGAAGTTTGTACCCTTTGACTAACATCTCCCCATTACAACCCCATCCCCTTCCCCACAGGTCCCTGGGAACCACCATTCTGCTCTCTGTTTCTCGCAGTTGGGCATTTCTAGATTCTACCAATAAGTGATATCATAGTGTTTGTCTTTGTCTGACTTATCTCCCTTATTAGCATAATGCCTTCAAGGTCCAACTGTGTTGTCACAAATAACAAGATTTCCTTCTTTCTTGTGGCTGAGTAATAGTCCATCTTCTGTTTGCTGCTACCAGTATGTCCTCAGTTTTTAGTGTTTGACACATAGTAGGTAAAATACTGATGGATGAATGAACGGATAGATATGATTTTGGCTTAGAGTAGAAGCACAACATATGTTGCTTAATGTAATATTTGTGTTCGCTTACCCTTCATAAACATTTGAGGGAAATTATCTGTTATATTTGTGTAGTGATATGTGAAAAGTGCCTTAAGCTTTTAGACAATAATAGTCCTGGATTATTTTTTTTTTTTTAGTTTTTTTTTTCCTTCCCAAGCATGAAGTCTTTTTTGCAATCAATAATCAATTCATACTTCGGTAGTAATGATGCTCTCCCTGAAGACCATTTTATATTTGTAATGGGAACAAAACAGGAAGTACATCAGAGAAACAGTAATAGTTTAATACTTTGTCTAATAGATTTTTCTCTTGACTTTTTTTCTTTCCTAAATGCTTTATCTTCATTTTTGATATCCAGTTGGCAGAGCCTCAAGTAATCTTAAGTTTCTCTTATGCTGAAGATTTTCCCATCGATCCAAATTTAAATCATTAAATATTATGGTATATTACAGGTGCATATATGAAAATGCATAAATATAGAGGAGAGGGGGTCACGGGACTGGGTGAAAAAGGTGAAGGGATTATGAAAAAATAAAAAACTCATAGACTCAGACAACAGTCTGGTGATTACCACAGGGAAGAGGGTACGGGGGAGATGGAAGAGGATGTAGGGCGGTAAATGGTGGTGGAAGGAGACTTGACTTGGCCAGCCCTTGGGGTGGTGTAGACACAATACAATATACAGATGATACATTATAGGATTGTACTGAAGTCTATATAATTTTATTAACTAATGTCACCCCCAATAAATTCAATAAAAAGAAAATGTGTAGGTATAGAGTGACGTGTACAAAACCAGCAGTGAACTGAATACCCATGTCCATTGCACCCAGGGAAAGAACTAGAACATACTCTGCTCTCCACACTCCCTGTGGCCCCTTCCTGATCTCCCACCCGAATCAAGTATTACCCAGAATTTTGTATTAAAAATATTTTGGGGGGTTTTTGGTAATGTTTCATCACTTATGAGTGCTCAGTAGGTAATACATGTAGCTTTGCCTGTTGGGGCTGCAGATAAATGGGATCAGGTGGCAGTTGAGTTGTTTCCTGCATCTTGCTGCTACGCCTCTCTTGTGGTGCAGGGGTTTCTGTCTGCGTCCCAGACCTTAAGATCGTACCCTGCAGAGGCGTTGCTGGGCCACACGGGTGCAGGCAGCCTTACCGGGTAAAACCAGTCTGTGTCCCAAGGTCCCCGCAGCTGTGAGCGGTCCCTTTGCAGCCCTGGCGTGGTGTTCTCTGACTTAAAAATGTTTTCCAAGCTGGTGGGTGTGAGGTGGCATTTTGTGTTTTTAATATGCATTTCCCTGATTACTAATAAGGTTGAATATCATTTCATACTTAAAACTCTTATTATTTTTGTCCCTTTTCCTGTTGGATCTTTTTTTTTTTTTTAAGAAAATTGGTATAGTGACGGATGTTAAATAGGCTTACCATGACCATTTTGCAATACATACAAATATTGTGTCATTATGTTGTATATCTGAAACTAATATGTTATGTTACACATCAATTTAAATGAAAAGAAAATGAATGTAAAGTTCTTTATTCTAGATACTAATGCTTTGTTGATCACCTGTGTTACCAACACCCTCTCCTAGTTTGTCCTGTATCGTTTCTCATTCTTTGAGGGATCTTTTCATGAACAGAGTTGTTAGTTTTTATACAGCCAAGTTGGTCACGTTGTTTTCTGTCTGGTGCATGCTCTTTTGTGTCTTTAAGAACTCTTTCCTACGCCAAGAGCAGAGGGTATTCTCCTCTAATATCTCCTGAAAGTTTTAGTCTTGCTTTGTACATTGAGGTCTTTAATCTACCTGGAATTAATTTTGTTGTTGTGTGTTTTTTATTGATTTTAGAGAGAGAGAGACAGACAGACACATTGATTTGTTGTTCCACGGACTTATGCATTCATCGGTTGATTCTTGTATATGCCCTGACCAGGAATCAAACCCGCAACCTTGGTGTATGGGGACGACACTCTAACCCACTGAGCTACTCGGCCAGGGCTATCTGGAATCAGTTCTTATATATCTTAAGAAATAAAGATTTGACTTCATTTTATCCAATCATTACACAGTTATCCCAACACGTCTTTTTGGAAGGCCCGTCCCCGTCGACCTGTGTGCTGATGGCAGCATCAACACTTACCGAGGGCTTACCAGGTACCAAGCAGTGTTCCAAGCATGAGATAACGTGTTTAATTCTTATAGTCACCCTACCAATAGATCCTGCTTGCATCCCCGTTTTGAGATTTAAGAAAACAACACCAGAAAGACAGAGTAAGTAACTTTCTTCATGTGACATGGCTGGCATGTCAAAGGGCCAGTTCATCCAGCTCCAGACCCCGGGCGGCCATTGGAGCCCATGCCTTCATGGCAGCCTCTCTTCTCTCCAAGAGTCTTCTTTTTGTAGGGCCCTGTTCCCGGTCTTTCTGGTCCTTGCATTTACAGTGGGGCCTTGACTTACGAGTTTAATTTCTTCCGAGACCGAGCTCGTTAAGGAGCTTGTTAACTCAAACTACTCTATCAACTCAATGCAAAAAATCAGCCGAGAGAGACAGCTGGTATCTCAAAAAACTCGTTAGTCGGGACACTCGTAAGTCAAGGCCCCACTGTACCTTGTTTTCTGTCCTGGCCAACACGACACAACCTCTTCGTTAACTTTACAGTAAGTCAGCATCCGGTGTGGCGCGAACCCCCACCTCGTTCTCCTGCAAGAGTGTTTTGGCTACTGCTTGACCCGTGCAACTCCATTTAAACCTCCGAGTTACGTTCTCCAAGAAAAACCTGTGGGGATTTTCATTGGCACCACGCTGAACCTCATTAAATAAATTTAAAACAGGCTGGAAGCCACAGAAGGGTGTGAGAGAGAAGGGGGGATTGTATTAGCTGGCCAACACTCGCCACCGGTTCTGAAGTCACCAGTCTTCTGCAATCCCGGCTGCGGCCTTCAAGGCCGATGATCAGCCTCCGCCTGTCTCCTCGTCACACTATTCTTTCCCTTTGTCTTCACACTCCCGGTTCGAGGAACTGCTCTCATTTCCTTCCATTTGCAGCGTTCTTTCCTTCCGAGGGCCCTCACACATTCTCGTCCCTCTGCCTGGGATGTCCTCCCCCCTCACCTTCTAGCCTCACTTCTCCTGATTTGCCTGCTGGCTTTACCTATCCTCGTTAATTTCGGCCTCCACATCACTTTCCCTAGTTCCAAGGCTAGGCTGGTCCCACACTCATGCACTCCGCCTCGCCTTTTATTTACCTCCATTAAAACACCACTGTTCTCCTCCACTCTGATTCCAGTCCTGGCACAGAACCTGCTGGATTATTGCAGCTTACTGGAAAGAGCCAAGGGTGTATGGGTTAGACTGAAAGCCACAGAAGACCCAAAGAAAAGTGGCTTAGATGACAAGGACATGTAGTAGCTCACATTTTGAGGAGTCCGGAGGCAGGGGGATTCTGGGATTGGTGTTGATGTTTAGTGATTTCATCAGCCAGGCACTTGCCAAATTTTGTTCCTGCTGTTCCGAGCATCACAAGCAGCTATGACCATGTCAAGGAAGGAGGAGGGGCGTGTATTAGGGAGGATAACCTTTCTCAGTGGCCACTCCCAGATCCCCCAGGCGTCTAGTCGGTCACGCCCTAGCTGAAGGGCGATGGGAAGGTGATCTCCTAAGAGCAGAGGTGCTCTAACCCCAGGACAGCGGGGTCTGGCTATTGCATGCTCAGCCAAGACGTCTGTTCCACAGGGTACCTTACCAAACCAGCCTCCCAAAGACTTGCCCCAGCCAGGGGGAAGCTCCCAGGTGCAGCAGCGTCACGCTGTCTTTCACCTGTGCTCAGCCTACCTCTCTGCAGCCTGGGGCCTCCCCTCGTTTCCATGCCCGGACTGATGCTCCCCTCTCAGCCCCAGCGCCGCTTCCGGAGGCTTTCCCAGCGGCCCAGCCTCGCCTGTCATGCAAGTCCTTGAGGTCAGATGCCCGGTGGCAGTGGGTTGAGAGGTGGGATCCCTTGTCTTAAAAGGGGGACAATCCCTATGTGTCTGCTGGACCTTCTTTACTTAACATTGTGAGTTAATTGCTAAGTGTTTTTGGAAAATCCTTTCCACGGGTGTTAACTAAGTTTCAGGTGCCAGGGCTTATACAATTATTTTTTCTGATATTTTTGTCATATTTTGTACCCCTACCCCTTCCCAACACAACACACACCTGGAAGTTCTTACAGAATTTAGAAGTAAGTCAGATCTTCAAAAATCTGGCTTCTTTTTTCATTAAAAATCTGGCCTCTACACTGCTCTTCTTTAGTCTTTGGATCGCCTCAGAAGTTCCTCCTGGTGCTGTGTGGTGTGCTCCTCCCTCCCTCCCCCTCTGCTCTTCGGTCCTTGGGTTGGCCTTGAACTCTCGTGCCCTGGGGGAGAGAATCCCCTGCCAAGCAGTGTGGGATGTTTGAGAGACAAGGTTAAGTTCCCCAGGGCTGGAGGGCTGCGGGACAGCCAGGAGGGGAAGGTGACGAGGCGAGGCCCTTGCTGACTGAGCAGGCTCGGCAGTGACCAGGTCTGACTTGGCCTCACCTGTCAGCTGACACGCGGAAACCGGGAAGTGAATGAGCCCATTCCACTTCTGGGTGGCAGCCAGATACTGATGACACTGAATGTTTGCACGAAAGATATTCATCTGACAGTCACAACTTGACTAAGCCCTCCTGCATGCTGTCACCGGGAGGCAGAGTTTTTTCTTAGAAAGAGCATGATTTTGCTTCTGTGACCGTGTCTATCTTTCATTACCATTGATCCGGCCACCACGATGGCAATTTAGACCCAGCTTTCTGAACCGGGTTTCTACAGCCTCATCATTCTTCAGGCTTTCCCCTCTGTTTAGGATATGTGACAATGCCTCTCTGGAGGAGGAATCTTTAAGATCATTTGACCAATTAGTATTTTGTGTGTGGTGTTTTTTTTTTAATGAAAAAAGAGTAAGTGCTCTTTAACATGTTTTTCCTTGAAACTCTTATGATCTGTTCACCCAGCATCTTGGGGGCAGTGACAGACATTTGTTTGTTGCTTTTACTGTATCCCGAGAAACAGAGAGGGGAGCCGAGAGGGACTGCAGTGTTCTGAGGACATTGAGATAGGCCCGGAGTTTATTGCTGCTTCTCAGAGGAGGATGTTCCATAGCAGTTTCCCCTCCAGACTCATCCACGCGGACTCCGGGACAGTCAGAATCTGGTGCTTTTTCTTCAAGTCCTATTTCTTACCCGCTGTTTTCAGTTTAGGCTGAGCTGTGACATGGCAGCACAGTGAGCGGAGGGCATCCTGCGCTCATTAGCCCTGCGTCCCGCTGTTTGTCGCACATCCAGCATCAGCCTCCTTATTGCCCTTTTACACAACATAGTTATGGTGGTAACGCTATGGAAACGCAGCTTTTTATATCCGTGCGCCTCTCCACAGTCTTTGTATCACTGACTCCATCCCTAGGCTGTCGGCTATTTTGGAAGGTTTTGTGTGTATGTGATTTTAAGCTCGTACATCTATTTCATCTTGGGTCTGTTTCTGTTCTCACCTCTTGTGTTTAGAATGCAGTTCTGGACAGGATCAGGAACAAAGAATAATTCTTTGGTATTTTCATCTTTATAACCAAAACAGACCTGGGGGGACTGTGGCTAGATGCAGCGCTGTGCCTGAATTTGTGCCTTTTTTATGGCCGAGTTGCATGCAGGCTTGCATCTGAAAGGGATTCTGAGTGCAGTAAAACCTGTTTTGCTTGTGTTGCCCTTCAAATGAAAACCCAGGGTATTAACTGGACTGTCCAACCATGACGCCCGGATGTTGGAGCCCCTGTGTCGTCCATGACGTCACAAGCTCTGGCTTTAGCTGGCATTTTCGTTCCAGGGAACACACCACCCTAATTCTCGGAACCTGTTTCACCAATAATAGACGAATATAACTTTACAGAATCTGCAGCTACGTGTACTGTCAAGGCAGAAGGGATCTGTGCCCCTCAAAATAAACCCTCGGTTCTTCCTTTTACGTTTCATCAGCTCTTTCTGCAGGCAGCCAGTGAAGTCACCTTGGGTAATGGTTTGTCAACACTTTAAGGTTTGACACTTTTTATGTTGAAAATATACATGTAGGTATTTCTGCTTTTAATTCAGTGTATGAGAAAAATCCTTAGTTTGTGCATAGACATTAATTAAAGTCTTAGTTAAAAATTTGAGAACTAGCCTGGCTAGCATGGCTCAGTGGTTGAGCGTCCACCTATGAACCAGGTCACAGTTAGATTCCAGGTCAGGGCACATGCCCAGGTTGCGGGCTCGGTCCCCAGTGGGGGCGTGCAGGAGGCAGCTGATCAATGATTCTCTCTCTCTCTCTCCCTCTCCCTCTCCGTTCCTCTCTGAAATCAATAAAAATATGTTTTTAAAAAATTTTGAGAACTAGGATTTGAGGTGGCATTGGTGATGACATAGTTTTGTTTCTAAAATTTTATAAAACTTTTTTGGAGGGTTTCTGTATATACAGCCACTTCAATATTTAGACCCAAATTGATCTTTTTAAAAACATTTTAAATGGAGCTTTTGTTGCATTTACTCTGGGTAAATCTATACCTTTTGACACTTCTCTCTCAGATAAGAGGAAGCTACTACCAGTAATATCATCCCAGGGGAGTCTGTTTAAATGGAGCATTTAAGGTCTGCTTCTCAGAGTCCAAGTCCTTAGGAAAGTGAACTTACCCAAAATAAAGAGCACCCTAAAACCGTAGTCTAGACAGCACAGATGGAAGTGGGCCTCGTGACGTGGAGGGGACATTTCCCTCCCTGGCCTGGCACCCCGCTCAGAGGGAGGGGTTTGCTGTGCAGGTGAGCTGGCCCTTTTCTTGAGTCTGAGCCATTTACACATTTACACGGGGGTAACTTTAGCAACTCAGTTTCTTACTAGATTGGCTTATTCCAGGGATTTTGAATTAGTGTCAGCTTAATACACTTTTCAGTTACAGGATACCGCATTCAGAGTTGACCTATATTTTGGAGGAAAGCTTCTTGTGGCTGGCTTCGGTCTCCTTATCTCAAAGAAACTAGCTAGCTTTTCTGACTATAGTCCCTATGTCAGCTCATTTGCATAATTTGAATTTAAAAGTTGGATGTCAGAAGACTTCCTGAATAACCAAGAATAATCATTATCTACTGAGCTAGAGAGACCAGCCTGTGCAGTGACTGATGGGCGTATGTTGTTGGTATGTGAAGGCAGGATTTGTTGGTTGATCGTCATGGTTCTGTAGGAACCCTGATGAAGATACAAGGACCCGAGCAAATGCCATAGTTCATACTGACACTGGTTCAGTCCCCAGCGCATGAAGGAGCCTAACCACAGCGGAGAACATAAATCCAGCCCTGGAAATCACTGAGACACAGCAGTTATATAGGGACCAATGCAATTGCACTCTCCTCGCACGCTTTTGCAGCTTAATCAGCCTCTCGGCACCAATCTCTGTGTGGTTTGAACCCAGTGAGTGGTGACAGGACAAGTTTGAGGAGGGTCCTTGAAAGGTACCTGTCAGGTTGTAGGCAGCTGCTTGGGAACAGCATTGCAGTCCTTTTGGCCATATGCAGTTAATTGTTGAGTCTATATATAGTAGGCATTTACTAGTATACATTAAACATTATTTTCCATTAGGTCACATATTCTCTGGCTTCCTTCATCTTTGGCAATATGCAGCTTTCAAATGGAAATTTACAATATGTGTCATATGGTAGTGGTTCGTGAAGTGTGGTCCCTGGACCTCTGGAGGTTCTAGAAACCCTCTCCCAGAGTCCACAAGGTCAAAACTATTTTCATAATGACATTGTCTTTTTCACCCTGGGGACATTTGCAAGTGACAGTGCAGAAGCAGTGGTGGTTGAGACCGCGGGCACCTTGGCATAACTCAGGCACTGGCTTCAAACTACAGGTTGTTATTGTCTTCCTCACTATTAGCTGTTAAAAAAAATCAGTTTTATTTAAAAATGGCCGTGATTGCCCTGACCGGTTTCACTTGATGGATGGAGCGGCGGCCTGCAGACTGGGGGGTCCCAGGTTTGATTCCGGTCAAGGGCATGTACCTTGGTTGCGGGCACATCCCCAGTCGGGGGGGTGGCGGGGGTGTGCAGGAGGCAGCTGATCGATGTTTCTCTCTCATCGATGTTCCTAACTCTGTATCCCTCTCCCTTCCTTTCTGTAAAAAAATCAATAAAAATATACTTAAAAGAAAATAAAAATGGCCGTGATGAAACAATAGAGATAGTTACTTTTATTAAATCTCAACCCTTTTTTTTTTTTTGCCCTGACCGGTTTGGCTCAGTGGATAGAGCATCGACCTGCGGACTGAAGAGTCCCGGGTTCGATTCCGGTCAAGGGCATGTGCCTTGGTTGCGGGCACATCCCCGGTGGGGGGTGTGCAGGAGGCAGCTGATCCGATGTTTCTCTCTCATTGATGTTTCTAACTCTATTCCTCGCCCTTCCTCTCTGTAAAAAATCAATAAAAAATATATTTAAAAAAAATCTCAACCCTTTTTTGGGTATTCAACTTTATTTTCCATTTTTCACACTAAAGAAAAATTAATACTATTTTTATTTTTATTTTATTATTATTTTGTTAATCCCCACCCAAGGACATTCTTTTCATTGATTTTTAGAGCGAGCCGAAGGAAGCAGGGAGAGGGAGAGAGAAACATTGATGTGAGAGAGATACATTGAATGGCTGCCTCCCGCACATGCCCCTAATGAGATTGGGGATCAAACCAGCAACCCAGGTACTTGCCCTTGACCGGGAATCAAACCCTTCACCTTCTGGTTGGAAGGCCAGTGCTCTAACCACTGAGTAACACTGGCCAAAAGAATTTTATTTTTTTATTACAGTTGACATTCAGTATTTTTTGTATTAGCTTTAACCCTTGAACATACATCTGTTTACTAGCATGTGTGACAAAATAACTATCCTAAAACTGGATGCTTCGTGACTGTGCTGTGAGCTGAACTAGCCCCCTTTTTCCTGCGACACCATCTGTACTTCAGAGAAAGGTTGACAGACAAACCCTAGAGGATTTGGCAGTCATTTTCTCAGACGTGAATGAAGTGCGCCTGTCACTCCAAGAAACAACTGACATTTGTTGCCAATGATCAAATTCTAGCTTTTAAGTGAAAATGGGAATTTTGGAAAAGTTGTTTTGCCACTGTAAGCTGGACGGCTTCCAAATAGTTTAAGACTCATCAGATCAGATAAAATGTAAACCAATGTGATTTTTAAATATTTTATAATGGAGCATGTCAACACTTAGGAGATCTGCATATACCAGTGAAATAATGTATTCTACATAAACAGAGCATGCGCTACACCGTCACACCAGGTGAAAGATCTATTCAAGGCGTAAGGCGAGGCTAGTGCGTTTTATTGTAACCAAGTATGAAAAATTCATCGCCAGGGTTTCAGATTTCACATGGCAACTGGCCTCTAAGAAACCATTACTTGTCGAGTTTTGCCAGAGCACCAAATAAGAGGATCCACCATTACCTGGCAAGGCTATGGAGACTCCTCCGTTTCCTAACTGCATATCTGTGTGAAGTCGGATTTTTTTCATGCACTTCAGCCAAAGTAAGGAATCACCGCAGATTGAATAGAGGAGCGCTGTGAGCATCCAGGGTCTTCGGTGAAGCCAGACACAAAAGAGGTTTGCAAGAATATAAATAGTGCCACTCCCACTGTTTTTCTTGTTTTGGAAAGTTCTTAAAAATAAAAATACATACATGTTATTTAAAATGATTTAATACATATTTTAAAAAGTCATGGGGTCTTTAATTTCCAATGGAGCAAAAATTGATAGCTGCAACCCACATAAACAAAGCTTATTGGGGTCCTTAATGATTTTTAAGGGGGCAGATGGGTCTTTGGAATTTCTGTCACATGACACATCAGGCGGGGTGCATTTTGGGTAATGGCACCATCCAAAAGTAGCAAAGACTGTTTTTTTGTATTTTTTTTTTTTTTTAAGATTTGGAAATTTTTTCCCCCATTAAGTTTTCCACATTTTAGTCAAGAATGTAAGTGGGTTGATTAGTTTTTCATCTGTTTTGAATTTCCTCTTAGCTTCTGTCTAAAGAGTTCATGCTGTGGCGACCCACGTGACAGCAGCAGGGACGAGGCATCGCCAGGGGATTTTCATAGCGTAAGGAGACCCAGGCTCATCGGGAGCCAGCACTTGTGTACCTGGTACTGCCTGGGGTTTTATTATTATTCAGACCCTGTTCTTTGCAGGTGCTTTATTACAGCTTGGGGTATGGTCTTAGATACAGATAACTTTTTCAGAAACACATGGCTGGTTTGAGGCCAGTAATTTTTAAGGTGAACTCAATTCAAATGCAGATTTTTTTAAAAAAGGATTCAGTATCAAACCCTGTTGCTTTATATTGTATACATTAGGACCAAAGAGAATTGCAAACTAGTGGAATAGGGGGGAAATATAGTTAGACTGTTGACCAGGCAAGAGTGAAATGGAAGAGCAGATGGTCTCAGCAGGTTTTCAAGGAAACACCTTTAACGGCTGAAAATAGCCCACGCTTTGGAGATGGTGGGAAATTATACCAGGGGGCTCTCACATGGGTGTGTGGAAAGGCGTTTTTAAATGAAGATGATCGCTGTGAAGCTAAATCAACAAAGTTTGCTGGTTAGCAGAGAGCTTTAAAGAAGCCTTGCTCTAAATAGCCAGGGATGATTTGGAATCCTGAAAGTCATCTCCCCCCCCCACCCCCCCACCTTATCCGCGGGATACAACCCAAAACTCCAGTGGATGCCTGATCGCGGATAGTACCGAACCCTGCCTATACTATGTTTTTTCCTATACATGCATGCCTATGAGAAAGTTTAATTTAGAAATTAGGCATAGTAGGAGATTAGCAATAACTAGCAATAAAATAGAATTATCATTAACAAGAAGTTGCAATAAGAGTTGTGTGAATGTGGTCTTTCTCTCTCTCAAAACATCTTATTGTCCCGTCCTCGCCCTTCTTGTGATGGTGTGAGATGACACAATGCCAACGTGGTGAGATAGAGTGAGATGGAATTTTCCATTTTAATATTTTCAGATAGAGATTGACCAAGAAGAACTGAAACTGTGGAGAAAGAAACTGCAGATGAGGGGAGACTTCTGTACTTGAACTGTTTGTATATTTGTTCTCTCAAGTAGTTTAAAGAGACCTGCAGTCTTGTGTTTACACTATTCACTGCCTGACAGCCCCTGTAGATAACATAAATAAAGAGCCTCCCTGAGCAAGCTTCCTGAAACGGAATCTAGGACTTTGTGAAATGACTGAGGAGCAAGAATGTATGGACACCATAAATATTTGTCCCTTATTTTTATGAGAATGTTAAAAATTATTAGATATAAAGATATTTTACAGTGATTATTTTTAATGAGAAAAACATGCTAGTAAAATAAAACGTTAGTTTCTAAGTTGATGTTTCTCAAACTGCTCTGTGGGCCTGGATGGGACTAAGGTTGAGGAAATGACTTTTCTTCAGAAGAGGGCTTCTCAAGTTTGGGAAAGCGAGTTTCTGACTCTGCAGCCTTGCCCGCTCCTGCCGAGCTGGACTCACTGATGATAGTTGGCACTGCTTTGAATGGCAAGCAGAATCGAAGCACCATGATGGCTTAGCATCGAAGGTGCTAGATTTCAAGCAAGCGGGAGGATGATGCTAAATGTTCACTGTCAGGTTGCACTGGCCTGTGATCAGGTTACATTGTAGCTTTGCATTTTTATATTGGACTGCAGGACCGATGCACGAAATTCATGCAAGAGCAGGCCTTCCCCCAGCTGCCGGCACCGGCTTCCCTCTGGCACCTGGGACCCTGGCTTTCCTCACAGCCCCGGCTTCATCCTGAAGGTCATCCGAAAGGATGTCCAATCTAATTAGCATTATGCTTTTATTATTATAGATTTGACACTTGACCATTGTTCTGATCCTCATCCAGGTCATGAAATTAGGCAGGGAGTACTCTGTGTCTGGTAGGCAAATGCCTGACACCTTACGTTGTTCCGTGGCCTTTCTCTGGGAAGGAGCTGGGACTAGAATCCTCATCCTCTGTTGATGTTACCCATGGGAGGCAGCAAACTTTCCCTCTTGGCCCATTGCAATCCCTTCTTCCTGGTAATGTTGAGCTAACATTCTCTTCACTTTCATCGCACTTGCCAGGCCCTCTCTTCTGGGCCTTCCCTCCTGGGCCCTCCCTTCTAGATCCTCCCTCCTGGACCCTTCCTTCTGGATCCTCCCTCCTGGGCCCTCCCTTCTGGATCCTCCCTTCTGGGCCCTCCCTTCTGGGTCCTCCCTTCTGGGCCCTCCCTCCTAGACCCTCCCTCCTGGACCCTCCCTCCTGGCTCTCCCTTGGCCGCTGCTCACATCCACTAGCTCACTGACCTCCCTCCTTGAGCTCCAAATAGATCCGTGTCCAACTATCTTCTGGCCATGCCACTTCCTCAGTCACCAAGTCACTTCACCCCCAACTGCTGCCCCTCCATGTGTGTCATCACAGGAAGCAGAAGCAGGGAGTCACCCTGGACGCCTCCCTTTCCTTCGTCCTGTCCCAGCCTCTTCACCCAGTCACTAGGCCTCGATTATTGTCAGTAAACTCCTCTCTCCTCCCATTTCCTCTCATCTGAACTGCAGCAGGCTCCTGACTTCAGTCTTCAGGTGATTCTGAACATAACTGTGGCTGCACTGT